CAGTGGAGCACACACTTAAGAAAGGCAGTTTGGGCTCTAAATGTGCCAATATCCTGGAAGGGTACCTTCTATTTAAATAGAATGTTTAATTATGAGGTTAGGGAATGAGAGAGGAGGCCCAGACTGGCCGTTAAGACACTCAAACCACAAAAATAATCCTTCCCCCCACTACTTTTTTCTTCCTATGCCTACCCCTGGAAAATCACACTACTAGAATCTGCAAGTTGCAAAGAGGAGCCAGGTGGTGGGTGACTCTAACCTAGTGCTAATTTTGCTCCCTGACTATGCTTGCTGGGATTTGGGAAGTTATGGGTATTGATAATAACGATCATGAATATGAGGTGACAGCTCCTAAGGTGGTCCTGCTGGTGTGACTCCCACAGCAGAAGGTAGGAGATGTTCTAGGATGGGGCAGTGTACATAAGGAAGAAGCTGCTAGATACCTGGGGATAAACTTGGGCATATGTTGTGTGTTAGACATGGGGAGGACTGGAGAAAGGGTGACATGATTTCTGAAGGGGCTGGTCACACAGATCACTTGGCTGTGGAAGAAGAGCCACAACCCTGGCTGACGGGAATAGAATGCCTTAGACTCAGAGAGGTCAAGGGTGGGAAGAGGGACCATTAATCTCTCTCTCAGCTTTCGTTTGTGGGACATTGGCCGATTTAACCTAGACTGCTACTACCATCCTCAACTTGATCAATGGCCAGTGAAGAATCTCAGTCTAAGAACTCTTAGAAAGCTTCCAACAACTGCTGACTCCAGGAGTGAACAGTCTCCACTAATGATGACAGAACAAGGTGAACTTTCTGAACACTGTTATGGTTTTCTTAAGCCTCATCTGTAATTTTTGAACTCTTTTATCTGTTCTGCACAGACTGTAGCAACTGTTCTAAGTTTAACTGATTGTTGGACCCTGCCCCCACATCAGCAAAATGCCGCTGCTGAGATTGCTACTACTTCATACGTGAATGTCAGGTCTCTCCTTGCCTGCAATACACAAACTACTCTAAACTCTCTCTTGTGCTGATAAAAAGTTGCATTGCCCTAGAATTCTTGCAGGCTATTCGAGGCAGGGTATGTGCAGTTGCCAGCCTCTTGCTGCATCTGGGTTAATAATATACTTAACTGATTTGTCTCCAGTTGGGGAGCCTGGCTACAGTCCATATTCCAAATGGAGCAGATCATCCTACTGGGAGTCATAGTGATGATCACTCTCATCTGATGTTGCCTAAGACATATGGGACAGTTTTCATCCAAACCCCTACCAGTACAATTAACAAGAGTATCTAATGGGGTGGCCTATGTTTCTAAAACAATTCTTAGTTGGATATGTGAAAGGTTGGGGTATAGAGCTGTAGGGCAATGGGTTGTCAACTCAAAAAGTAAATTGTCCAGTTGTTTTACCTGCAAAAGGAGTTTATTTAGGAATAGACAGAGGAATTGCAATTTGAGATATGCAGGCTATGGGGGATCATAGGGAAATCCAGAGAAACAAAGGAAGAGCTTCCTTTTATAGAGGAAAAGGGGGGGAGGGGCTGTAATAAACAAAGAATCCATTGGAGGAAACTGTAAGTCCAAAATGTAAGGGTTTCTCATTGGTTTGACTGCAACAGTCTCATGGGCTGGGCTGTTGCCTGGCAGGGAGAGAATTCTTCCTTCCTTCTGCTGTGTAGTAAAGTAGTAAACATCTTCCAGTCCAGATGCAGGTGAATATCTCTTCCTGTTTGGAGTGATTAATGATGTATGATAGAGCGTGAGAGCTCCCCCTACATCCTTCCCTACTCCAATTTAGTTCAGGTTTCTTTTATTAATTTCACAGGCTCTACCCTAGTGACTTTGCTTGTGTCCATATAGACCTTGCAGGCAAGGCTTGAACTGCAGGTAATTGGAGTCTTGGCAGCACACTTTGTGATCCTCCTGGAACAGGAGGGCCTGGGAGGCTTGTGAGGAGCTGCTTAGATGCCATCTTCCTATCTCTCTCAGGAGAGTTTTATGAGGTATGCAGCTTTTTGCCCCAGCTCCCCTCAAGGTATAGCTGTAAACTATAAAACCACTCATCTGCAGTCTAGAATTGGCTCCTGAACTAAAATGTGTCCTATCATTTGTGATGAAGTCATCTGGTCCCTTTTATTTTGGTGTCATCTTGTATAAGGGCCTTGGGGAGCTAGCACCTTTGGCCACTTTTCCTTTTGCTGTCCACTTAAGTAATAAATAGCCAGAATCTAAAAAAGATTCATTGTTACTTAACCTGCCAAATCTATCAGGGCTTTGCCTTGGTTTTATGCTTGACGGATATCACAAGAGATTGGATACAGAAGCAGATAGGGAATTCAGCTTCTTCTTTTAAGTTGGACATTAAAGAAATTTGCAAAAATGTAAAACAATGCCTCTTTTGTCACTAAATTTTTTTAAGGAAAATATAGATATTTTTCATAAAAATATATTATTTATGTTAACAAGTAATGGGTTTGTTATTGTTTTAAAAATGAATTAATATATAAATATCTAAAATTTCTGCACTGAAATATTTACTATAGTAAATAGCAATTGATCTAGTTCACATAAAAAAAGCTCCTTGGGGTCCTCCATAATTTTTTAATGAAAGTAGATCCCTATCCTATACCACTCACAAAAATTAACTCAAAATAGATTAAGGACTTAAATATAAGCCCAGAAACCATAAAACTCCCAGAAGAAAACACAGGGAAAAAACTCCTTGACATGGGTCCTGGCAACAATCTTTTGAGTATGACACCTAAAGCACAAGCAATAAAATAAAAAATAAACTATATCAAACTAAAAAGCTTCTGCACAGCAAAAGAAATGATTAACAAAATGAAAAGAGAACCTACGGAATGGGAAAAAATATTTGCTAACCATATATCTTACAAGGGATTAATATTCAAAATACATAATATTCAAAATATCATACAACTTAATAGCAAAAACCCCCAAATAATCCAATTAAAAAATGGGCAAAGGAGCTGAATAGATATTTTTCCAAAGAAGATATACAAATGGCCCACAGGTACATGAAAAGATGCTCAACATCACTAACCGTTAGGGAAATGCAAATCAAAACTGCAAAGAGATAACACCTCATGCCTGTTAGAATGGCTATCGTCAAAAAGACAAGAAACAACAAATGCTAGCAAGGATGTGGAAAAAAGGGAGCTCCTGTGCACTGTTGGTGGAATTGTAAATTGGCACAACCACTATAGAAAAGAGTATGGAGGTTCCCCAAAAAATTAAAAATAGAACTACCATATGATCCAGCTATTCCACTTCTGGGAACATATCTGAAGGAAATGAAGACACTATGTCAAAGAGATATCTGCACCCCCATGTTCATAGTAGCATTATTTACAATAGCCAAGACATGGAAACAACCTAAGTGTCCATCGATGGATGAATGGATAAAGAAGTTGTGGTATATATGTATATATACACACACACAGTGGAATATTATTCAGCCATAAAAAAGAAGGAAAACTTGGCATTTGCAACAACATGGATGGACCTTGAGGGCATTATGCTAAGTGAAATAAGTCAGACAGAGAAAGATAATTACTGTATGTTATCACTCATATGTGGAATCTAAAAAAAACAAAAAACCCAACCATACTCATAGAAAAAGAGATCAGATTTGTGGTGATGGGGAGTGGGAGGATTGGATGAAGGTGGTCAAAAGGTACAAACTTCCAATTATAAGATAAATGAGTACTAGGGATGTAATGATGACTATAGTTAACATTGCTGTATGGTATATTTGAAAGTTGTTAAGAGAGTAGATCCTGAGAGTTTTAATCACAAGGAAAAATTTTTTTCTTACTTTTTTGGTATCTACATGAGATGATGAATGTTAACTAGACTTCTTGTGGTAATCATTTCACAATATATGTAAGTCAAATCATTATGCTGTACACCTGAAACTTATACTGTGCTGTATGTCAATCACATCTCAATAAAACTGGAAAAAATAAATTTTTAAGAATATAAAGGGATTGGTACAAGAAAAAGTTAGTGAACTGCTGCCCTAGAGAAACTCTCCATGGGTATGCAAGAAGACATACGAGAGAATATCCAACTGGAATATTGGTGTTGTCAACGCAAACAATCCATAGTCAATCTATAAATCAAAATTGCGGTGAGTTTATTATATAAGCCTCTGAGTACCACAGCCCAGGAGAAACTACCTTCACCAAGGAAGGAAGCACTCTGAAGAAGCGAAGTGTACAGAGTGGTTATATACCATCTTGGAACAAAGAATATACATCACATATGACAGGAATATCTCTTTTACTACAGTCACAAGATGCTTTGCTAGGACAGCAGGTCAGTGGTCACAAGGTGAGCACAGCAAGTCAGTGGTCAGCAGCTCAGTGGTCACGAGATGAGTTAAAGCAGGTCAGTAAGAAATCATTAGTTTCTGGGAAGAAATGCTTATCCTTAAAGAAATGTTGATATGGGAGAGACAACATTCCTATCTTTAAGGGCATCATTCTAGGCTTTGGGACATTGTAAATATTTAAAGCAGATGTACAATGCACGCTCAACAGCCCTTTCTGGAAAAACAAGGTCAGGCTGAATTAATTTTAAACCAAATGGCTTCCTCACATATGCCAGTAAATCCTATTTCTTTTCATTTATTCATTAGTGTATTTCTACAATAGATACCATACAGCAGAGCACACACATGAATGGATTACCGGTATCATTATAGAAACTGTGCAGAATGAGCTAGTTATGTTATCAGGCTATTTATATAATGTTTAAAAGCATGGAAAACATTATATTTCGCTCACGGATACCTGTGGTGAAAACAAAAAAAACGTGCCCTAGGGGGAGCAAGCAAGTCAATACGACTCTGGGAGTCACTTTCTCCGGCCGGCGCAAGACGGTTCTGCCCCAGAACTACGCTTCCCCGCAGGCTGCGCGCCCCACGGTGCCGCACTTCCTCCAGAGGCACTTCCTTCCTTCTGGCGTCGCCCGTGAGCAAAAGAGCGCAGCGCGGTGGGCGTGCAAATCGCCGCCGCCGCTGCTGCCGTGGCTACCTCGCCTGTCATGTCAGCGCAGATGTGGGCCCCGCGGGAGCAGCTCCTGGGCTGGGCTGCAGACGGTGAGTCGGGCCGGCGAGGCGAGGGCAGGGCTGGCAAAGGGCCAGGGCGAGAGGAGGGTGACCGCCTCCCCTCCCCCGCGCTCCGACCTCAGGGGCCGGCGTCAGCAGTATCCGAGGCTGAGGCTATTCTTTTAGGATGTGCGGGGAATGGGGGCTGCGCGCTGTGGGCGGCGCTGACGACCCCTCCCTACTGCTCACCTCCCCTGTGAGTCGGCCGGGGTTTCTGTACTGTACACTGTCCATGGTGCTAACAGCCACAGCCCCAAGTCTCCTCACCCAACCTCCCACCGCGGGGGTCCGATTTGCGCTGTCCATCCGGCAGCCATTGGCCACAAGTGACTATTGAGTTCTTGAGTTGTGGCGAGCGCTACTGAGGAACTACATTTTAATTTTTTCTCCCTTTTAATTAATTTGTAACTAAATGCTAAAGAAATCTAAAATATTTTCCCATCAGACACAAGTTTGTTGTTTTGGTAGGACTACGTTTCCTTTTAACCTTTGAAAATTTAACGTCGTTATTGAGATGTGCTGTAAGTGTCAGATACACAGCTGATTTCGAACAGATGGTTGGGAAAAAAGAATATAAACCATAGATTACTTTTTAATATTGATTATGTGTTGAGATGATAATATTTTAGATATGTTGGCTTAAATGTTATTAAAATTAATTTCATCTTTTAAAAAACTTTTTGAGATGGCTACAGGAAATTTAATATCACATGTGGTTGGCACTGTGGCTCTCATATTGCTCTTGAATAGCGCTGGATTCAGTGCTGCCCTGTGAGAAAGGGTCTGTGTGCATCCAGCAGAACCTTACTGGACTCTTGGGGAAGGCTTCCTAGAGAAGATGGATGTGTCTGGAGGGCATTCTTGTCCTGTCTTGACTAGGGGTCTGTAATTCTAACACACTGCATGTTTCTGTCAGAGGTTCCTCCAGAATGGCTTTTTCAGCCCCACTTCTGTAGCCACTGTAAGTCTTCCTCAGGTGGTTGTGCTGTAGAGAGAAAGGTAAGGACATGATGGTGATTTGGGGCCAGGCGGATTGGAGGAGCATTTATCCCTCACAGCCAGTGTCTGCTGAGACTCGTGTTTTCTTTTCCACCAAGGTAAAGGAGATTCTAATGATTTTAGAAGCCATTTTATGTTTGCCTTTTTAATAGGTCCTGAACTGCTATGTAGATAGGGGTTTGTACTCACCAATTATTAAAGGGCCTTGTGTCAAATGCAAACACTAATTTGAAGAGATATATGCATCCTATGTTCATTGCAGCATTATTTACAATAGGCAAGATATGGAAGCAACCTAAGTGTCCATCGATAGATGAAGGGATAATGAAGAGTGGTGTATATATACAATGGAATATTACTCAGCCATAAAAAAAGAATGAAATCTTGCCATTTGCGACAACATGGATGGATCTAGAGGGTATTATGCTAAGTGAAATGTCAGACAAAGATAAATAGTGCATGATTTCACTTATATGTGGAATTTAAAAAACAAAACAAACGAACAAACAAAATAAAACAGAAGCAAACTCATAGATACAAAGAACAAACTGGTAGTTGCCAGAGAGGAGGGGGGAAGGATGGGTGAAATATATGAAGGGGATTAAGGTAGGCGCAAACTTCCAGTTATAAATAAGTCATGGGGTTGTAACGTATAGCACAGGGAATATAGTCAATAATATTGCAATAACTTAGTATGGTAAGAGTTGGTTACTAGACTTGTGGTGATCATTTTGTAATGTATATAAATGTCGAATCGCTATGTTGTGCATCTGAAACTAATAAAATGTTGTATGTCAACTATTCTTCAATAAAAAAATTTTTTAAAAAGAGGTATTGTTTCCTCACTGATTTGAGATGTCATATTTGCCATATACTATGATTAGATGGTCCTTCCTTCCTCCAAGCCACCCACCCACCCACCCATCCATCCATCCATCCTTCTATCCGTCTTCCTCTGCAATCCAAATTGTAGATATGGCCAACCTGTGATTGACCTGTAGCATGAGCAAGGGGAAAAAAACCTTAATTGCTTTTAACTACTTGTATTTTTGAAGCTCATTAGTTACCAGAGCATAACTCAACTTATCTTGACTGTTAGTGATCCATTCCTCCATGTCACTCTGAAAAGTCTGGCTTCTTCAGTGTGAATTCTAGATGTCTGGTCACTTTGCTTTTTCATTTGGTCATTGGTTCTGTAGGCATTTATTGAGGCAGTGGTTAAGTGAAGCTGCTCTGAAACCAGAGACTTGGATTCTAGGCTTGGCTCTGCCACTTGGGAGTGACATGATGTTGTGAGCCAATGACCTAAGTTCCCAGTTCTCAGTTCCCTCTTTTGTGAGATGGAGGTAACAGCAGTATTCACATCATGGCTTTGTCATGAAGATTAATGAAGCAGTAGACTTAGTACAGTGCCTGGCACATAGTACTTGCTTAATCAATGTTAGCTACTGCTACTGGTGGTTCTGGAAAGAGAAGAACTGTGTAGGCTAAGTTATAATGCAGTAACAAATGACTCTCAAATCTCAATGGGAGTGTAACAACAACAATCTAACCTTAATCCTATCTAAACCTTAGTGGGTTAGCTTTGGCTATACTTCATGTCCTTTTAGTCCATGACCAGGGTTGACAGAGCAGACCCTGTGGGGCAAGTAACACTTACGACAGAAGGAGAAGAGCAAGAGAGATGAAACCACCCAGTGACTCTTAAAGTTGCTGTTTAGAAGAGAGAAATGCCATTTCCACTCACATTTCACTGGCTAAGGCAAGTTATATGGCAGTGCCTGATATCAGTGGGTGGGAAAGTATAACTCTTTTGCAGAGAGGGAAAGCAAATATTTGGGAATAATATAGTCCACTCCAAGGGCCTACTTTACCCTAATCACTAGGATTACAAAAATGCCTGAAGAATTGTATTATGCACTGTCAGGGGTAGGTAGTTGAGGGAGTCCTGGTGGAAAAAGGAGGATGAGAAGTCAGGAAAGGACTGTAAAAACAGGAAATTGTGCCTGGGGTCTGTCTTCTTTCTGTTCCAGGTTTTATAGATTGGTGAGGGCAAATTGGCGTAATCTCGGGGTCGGTTTCCCTTCAACTCCTTGTCTCCTAAAAAGCATATTGGAAGGAGCTCAACATACACATCCCCTTCTGGATTTGCTACTCTGTTCCGTTACTCTGTCTGTTGCTGCCCTAATGCTAAAACAGTTTTATTTACTATGGCTTAATAGTGTGTTGTTATATTTTAGAAGGCAAGTCTTCCTTTTTGTTTATTTTCATAATTTTCTTGGATATTCATATATATTTTCTTTAAAAGAAGAATTTTAGAATTGTCTAGATCCATAAAAAAAATCTCTATTGCGATTTTGATTGATGTTGCATTAAGTTTATTTAATTTGGAAGGAATTGATTGGCTTGCAGTATAATTCATCCTATCCGGAAGCATGGTATGATTCTTCATTTACCCACATAGCCTATTATGATCTCCAGCTGCCTGAATAAGCTCACATTCTAGAAGGGAGATAGATGGATAAACATAAACGTGTAGTGTGGTGTGATTGAGATGAGACTCAGATTGGACAGAAGAAGGAGTTATCACCTCTGCCTATGACATTGGACTATGACTCTGAGGGCTTTCTGGAGCAGGAGAACCTTGAGTTGGTCACAGAAGGGCAATAATCGGCAGTGGGCTGGGTCACTTTGGCTGAGACTTGAGTCAAGGAGTCTGCAGTGCTTCAAGTTTTGTAACTGGCATAGTTCCTAACACTGCTTGCCTTTCTCTGGGCCATGTTGCTGGAGGTCTTTGACTCAGGCTTTTGGGGAGACAGGTATGCAAATTTCTGATAGGATCATGTGCCACACAGATACAGAAATGGAAGACAGATAGCTTCCCAGAAGACAGTGTAGGGCCTGGGGCTCTACATAACTGGTGGCACTCAGTTCAAACCTCAATATTGTAGAAACTCCTTAGGGCACAGAGAATTGACTACAGCCGGAATCTAGACCAGTGGAGTCAGAAGGTGGGCATTGCGTACCCTAAGCAGGGTCTGAGAATAGAAGCTCAGGTCCTATGTCATTATGGCCATGGCATCATCTGCCCCTTCCATGAAGGGTTGGAGAAGTGGGAGTAGTCAGAGTTGTGAAGTCTCCGACTTAAAAGAAATAGTATGCTAACAATGGGGCTTATCCAAAGTTGCTGAGCTGTTTGGTGCTAGAAGGGATCTGAAAATCCAGGCCTTGGGCTAGTAGCTGGGGATCTGATTTCTCCCCTCCCCTCTCCTCCTCTCCTCTTCCTTCAAGATGGCTGATAAATGCCAAAGTGTGATGAGAAAAGGGGAGGGAGGATGTGCCAAATGGTCCTGAGTGGGGTAACTAGTAAGGGTACACAGCACTCAGGTGGCATTGTGGCTGGGTACTGCTGATAGAGGGGAGCCTCTGGCTGCTGTGTGATTCCAGTGGGGACCTTTCCCTCTCTGGCACCCACACCAAGGCAGGTATGTATGTTGTGGGGCTGAGAGTCGAGTTTTGGGGGACTTTGGGGATCTACTATTAAGGTATTTTATTCCCATTTGTGATTTTCCAGGTGTGGAGGGCAGGGGGTGGTGCCTGTGGAAGTGGAGCAGAAGGAGGAGACTCCCACTGCCTGATAAGATCCATGCTACTTCCTTGCAGCAAAAGCTGGGCTCCATAGCTAAAGCCTATGTTATGGATGCTTCAAGTTTCCCTTGAAAGACTAACAGGTGGATCAGTGAGCTATGCCTAGCAGGCAGTACAAGGGTTAAGAGGCTGTGCAGAAAAGATTTAACATAGTAGGACTGAGACTGCTATCTTTAGAGAGACCTGCCTGCAAGGTTGGCCCTTTGCTGGCTTCTGGGAACTTGGCACTTGACTTGTTCCCTAACTAATAAGTATAGTTCACTGTGCCTTGATTGTGCCTTGACAATGTGACTTATGCTGAACACCTACTTTCCTTCTGGGAGTCTAAATTTTTATAGCTGCTAGGCAGAGGGTGCCTACATGACCAACCCCCAATAAAAACCTTGGAAACTTGAGTCTTTAGTGGCCTTCAGAGTAGAAACATTGTGCATATGTAATTGCTGTTTTTCACTGCTGGAGAAACTC